TGGAGAACATGGAAATCGACCGAACACCCATACACCAAAGTGACGTCCCCAAACTGGGTTCAGTCAGTCGAAAACCACTTCGTGTACTGCGTGCTCTCCTTACACTCTGCGTTCCGTTTGCTACGTTTTTCGCTTTCACATGTGTTTAATAATTAATTAAAAATTAAACGTTTTCAAATAATATTCACTGCAACGAAACCTGCTTGGCGGCATTTATACCTATTGTGCTAAAATAATGCCTAAATTTCAATGAGCCAAAACATTGGGCGTATTATTCGAACACAAGTGGCTGGAGGTTGAATAAGAAGTTTTTGCTGTTGCAAATGGAATCACCGAAAAATTCCATTTTTCAGTATCGCGAATAAATGGTACGCATAAATAACCGTAAACGAAAGTTACCGCGAAAAAACAGAAAGGCCTTAAGGCAATGACCTGACCGGAAAAATTATTTTATGACGATCACGGTAGCAGAGACCTTCGCCTTAGTGCACGACAACTGACTCAGTTCAAATACGTCGAAATTGAACGTGTCAAAAATGAACCTCTTGAAGCCGCAGGTATGAATGACTGCCCTAATGGGTTGAGTAACCATATAAACTTTTCAAAATCCCGTAAAACTCTCAAAACCTGGCACACTCGAAATTTCCAGAAACAATCGAACTGTGTATTAAATAAATATATGAATATGAAGTACAAAAGGCGAACACGTATCAGCTTAACAAATGACATAGACTTCAATTCCAACACATACCTTCTAGGGTTAAAACGGTTGTACTTACCTACTACAGCAAACAGTACAAATAATTAACCTTGTCAGTCTGACACGACATAAACAGCCTCTTAATGTCAATAGATAAAAGAAGATGGTTAGAAGCCTGAAATAAATAAATGGGAAATAAAGTTTTTGAAAACGACGACATTATTAATGTAATCTATGAATTAATGTTGAAGACGGAACAGCTTTGTTCAACCTGAAAAATTATTGAATAAATCTTTGCAGGCATATAACCATTTATTTCTTTAGCTGCGTGATAACACTATCCCAGTTATCAGTTCATCACTTATGAAAGCTAGACGTCTGTTGAAAAGCAAAAATACATTTAAAAAAGTTATCCATTACTCCCAACTTCGATTAATAGGGATTCCCTAGTGCGATTCACTGCACGATGTCTCGTAAATCTTACATCAGATCTGTAATCGATCCCAAACCTACGGCAATTGACACTCTGGGTGATGGACTACAGCTGTGCCTCCTGATGTTACTACCATCAATTGCCAGAAAGGATAATGGCGCAAATCAGTCATGTTTTAGCACTTGAACAGCATATGGTGGAAATGACAGAAGTGAACCACAAATGCGTAAAGAAAAGACTTATTTTCGAAAACATGGTTCATTAAACTTCTTGTCTTTTTCATCAACAAATTTTCACTCTCGCTGGACACAAGATAATCGGCATACAGTAGTCCTTATTATAATCTCTGACGTTTCAGCGGACCTAATTGGGCGTACTTCCGGCTAATATATTCCAAACAATGAAACATCGTTCACCGTGAGAATGGCCAAAGTAATTTAGCCGAAACTTCGGCGGTTTTAATAAATATATTACCATATGGCTGTTTCCTTGTGTGGCATTTAATCATGGAGGTGGCATTTAAACTGTTTTTCTTCACAAGTTTTGTTTTAATCTATTCATAATCAAATCAACTGATATAATGAGCATTTGCTGTGCGTCAATCAATCGAGAACGACCTTCCATACAATATTTTAGCGCATATAACTGTGCAGTTCCTGAACTGATC